ATGGTCCTCCCCATCACACGTGGGTTTACGGGATGTGGGGGATGGTCCTCCCTGTTGCACTACACAAAAGGTGGATGTTCTCCTCATCCTCTGGGGAGGCCTGGGGCCCCCCATGGTGCAGCCAGCCTTTGCATCAGCATGTGTGGGAGCATAATATACACAATGCTGATAATCAGATTTTGGAGATCGCAAATCAGATGAGGCTCATGTGTTGCTCAGAAGAGCTCTGCTTCTGCAGAGACAGAGAGGGAATATTTAGGGTCTTCTGTGGAAGCCATTAGCCATAGAAAATACTCCCACTTAAGAGACAGTGGGGGGTGGGGAACGGGGACTTGAGGGTTGTTCTGAGCAGTTAGTAAAAAGGACAATTAAAGAGATCACCTTCCTTGCACACTGCAGCTTGCCGGGATGAAGTGCAGGGAGAATGTGGCATCACAGAGGATGAGTTCCTGTCCCATTACTAAGAAATGTGCCGTTCCTTCCCCTCTGAGGTTACTCGTGGGCAGGGCCTGTACCTAGGGGTCCCTGTCCATTCAGTGATTAGCCCCATGGTCCTGGGGTTTACTCCGTGGATTCGGGTGATTACCCCATGGTCCTGGTGGTTAACTCCATGGATTCTGGGGGGTTACTCTGTGGGTTCTGGGGTTTACACCTGGGTTCCTGTGGGGTTTCCTTCATGGATTCTGAGGGGTTACACCGTGGGTTCTGGGGGTTACTCCATTGTCCTGGTGATTTATTCAGTGGTTCCTGGGAATTTAATCCATGGGCTTCTGAGGGTTTAGGCTGTAGTTCCTGGGGGGTTACTCTGGTTCTTAGGGGTTTACTCCATGGTTCCTGGGGGTTACTCCGTGGTTCCTGGGGGGTTACTCTGTGGATTCTGGGGATTTACTCCATGGGTTCTGGGGGGTTACTCTGTGGTTCCTGGGGGGTTACTCTGTGAATTCTGGGGGGTTACTCTGGTTCTTAGGGGTTTACTCCGTGGTTCCTGGGGGTTACTCCGTGGATTCTGGGGATTTACTCCATGGGTTCTGGGGGGTTTATTCCATGGATTCTGGCAGTTTACTCGGTGGCTTCTGGAGGGTTACTCCTTGTCCTGGGGGTTTACTCCATGGGTTCCTGGGGGTAACCCCTCGGTTTCCTTGACTGCTCATCTGCCATGAAAAAGAGAGTGAACACTATGGAGGTGGAAATTGGGAGCTCCTAGCAGACTTGATATTCCCTAGTGTCACACTCTGTTGCCTGTGGCTGGAAACCTATGTGAGTTTCAGGGGGAGAAAGAAATGAGGTTGGTAGGCATCCCTAAGCCACTCGATCCCACGAGCCTGGCTGTCAGCCTCAGCATCACAGTCCCTTTGAGCAAGGGCCCCACTCTCAGTCTTACCTACACCTGTGTAGAAATTCTCCTCTCAGAATCCAGAGGTCTTGCAGGCTCCCAGGGTGTCTGCAGTGCAGGGCTCTCTAGGGAGAGGCTTCTCATGGAACCCTGCACGCCGGGGCTCAGACAGGCAGCTGGATTGCCGGGAGGCCTGCACGCCGGGGCTCTGACTGGCAGCTGGATTCCCAGGGGGGCCTGCACACCGGGGCTCAGATGGGCAGCTGGATTTCCAGGGGGCCTGCACACCGGGGCTCAGACAGGCAGCTGGCACCTTGGTGGACGGGGTTCAGACAGGCAGCTGGATTCCCAGGGGGCCCTGCATGCCGGGGCTCAGGCAGGCAGCTGGCTTCTCGGGGGACCCTGCACGCCGGGGCTCAGACGGGCAGCTGGATTCTCGGGGGACCCTGCATGCTGGGGCTCAGACAGGCAGCTGGATTCCCGGGAGACCCTGCACACCAGGGCTCAGGCAGGCAGCTGGATTCCCGGGTGACCCTGCCCGGGGGCTCAGGCAGGCAGCTGGGTTCTCAGCTTCTTGGGATCCTATGAGCCGGTGCAAGGTGAGCACACTGCACGTTTGGTAGCTTGGAGTTTAAAAAACTGCCTGTGTTGTTTCTTAGAGTTTGTTTTATTTGTTTAAAATTTGATTTCAAGAAAGTTTTTTAGCCCCTAGAATTTAAGGGGGAAAAAATAAAAGAATTAAGATGTGTGTTGGCAGACGGAGGAACACTGAAATTTATTGATTTCGAATCTGTGCCATTCTTCACCATTCTGGTCTCAGCATGACTTGAGGGGGGCTGTGTGTGTTAGTCAGGGCTCACGACGGAAGCAGAGCCCACCGGAGAATGTAGGGCCCTCTCCGTGAAGAGAGCTCAATCGGTCGATTCTGAATGCCTGGCTGGAGACTGTGGGGCTGCAGGTGCACGACCACAGGAAGGGGACTGAGACTGGGGAGGGTGATCCCACCCGGGAGTCCCCAGACCGCTGGGCAGAGTCCATTCCTCCTGGGGACTGCAGCCCCTTCCCTTAAGGCCTTGCGTGGAGACGAGGGGCTGTCCACAAAGTCGACTGATTACATGCCAGTCACACCTGAAGGCGCCTCCACAGCAACACCCAGACTCGTGTCTGAGCCCCTGGGTCAGCCACGGTGACACTGAACCAGCCACACACTGCTGGACGCAGGGGTTCGCATGTAGGCCTTTCCTAAATACAAAGTGTCCGGTGAGACCGGTGGCCCTGGGCCTGTTGGCCCCTGACCATTTTGGAGTGAGGCCAGAGCTCCCTGGCTGTGAGGAAGTGGGGTGTGCTGTGGGCACAGCCTTCCTGGGGTGTCCACCCCACTGTGCAGCTGTGGAAGCCAAGGTTGTGCCAGTGAGGCCCCAGCCACCCTCTCCTGTTGTGCCAGGGCCAGAGCTGCTCTTTCCAGTGGGTCCGCAGGAGCCCGGGGGCGTGGCCCTGGGTCCGCAGAGGCCTGGGGGCGTGGCTCTGGGTTGTAGGGTCTGGGGGCGTCGCCCTGAGTCTGCAGGGGCCTGGGGACGTGGCCCGGGTCTGCAGGGGCCTGGTTGTGTGGCCCTGGCATCTGTCTGGCTTCCTTGCGCTCCAGTGTGGGGCTTTCACCTGCTAACCTGGGACCCTCTCTGTTTATTGCAGCCCTGCAGCAGCTTCCCAGCTGCGCCCTCCTCCGCCCTGGCCTCATCTGAGGACCTGCAGACTCCCTCTCTGGGCAGCTCCAGCTCTCTTCCCAGCCAGGCCCCACCCCGCTATGCACCAGCCTATCCTCCCCCTGGAGAGAAGCCACCCCCCCACGCCCCCTGACACAGAAGTGTGGGGGAAAAACTTTGTTTAAAAAAAAAAAAAAGGCAGCCTCTAGAAAATCCCGCTATTCAGCTAAGCTCCTAGAGAACCCAGGAGAACATTCCAGAAGTCTGGAATGAAGTCCGTGCCTGCCTTCCCTCCCTGAGCACATTGGTGAGGGGGCCGCCACCGGGCCACCGGGCGGGGAGCGGGTCCCTGCAGACCCAGGCTGGTGCTGTCTCACCAAACGGCACTGAATGGCCCCACCTGGCGACCTCGTTGAGAGCCACTTTTCTGGTGTTTTCTCTTCCCTTAATTAGCCATTATTGCTATCTGCAAGGAGGGTGCGGCCCCGTGCCTCCCTGCGTATGGGTTCCTGTTTGCAGGCATGTTGTGCACTACACGTTCATGTGTGCGTCTGTGTCCTGTAGAGGGGCAGGGCAGGGCAACCCACCTGCCCCTCGGGCTGTGCTCCTGACGTCTGCTGCGAAGGGAAGAAGCTTCAGCTCTGACGCCCAGCGCTGTGTCTAACCGCCCGCAAGTTGCCAGAATCTGGGGGTCCAGGTGTCTCCCGGCCCCAGATGCAAATCTGCCCTGGCTGCTGGTGTGAGGGTCTCCCCTGAGCTGTCTCCCAGCTACAGCACCTGGGCTTCTGCTGCCCTTCCACAGCTGCTGCTCATGGCACTGCGTCTCAGGATCCCTGGCCACTGGGACGGTGGGGGCGGTGTTTAGGGGTCCCTTGGCTCAGGGTCTGAGGGTGCAGCACTCCCCATGGAAACCAGCTTAGCTTCTCCAGTCCCAGCATGCACCCTGCCAGACACACCTGGGGAGACAGGTGAGTGTGCCTGGGAAGCGGCAGGTCCCGGGGTTCACAGGCCTGCGCCCCAGTGACAAGAGTTCAGGTTGCGCTGCCCAGAAGTAGCCGAAGTCTCTTGAAAAGCAGCGGGTAGGGGAGGGGCTTTCTCTCAACTCCTAAAGTCAGATCCTCCACAGGGAACCATGGGCTCCCCTGGCAGGAGGGGAGGCAAGAGGTGACCCCACCGCTCCCCAGACACGTCACAAGCCATCGAGTCTCCGTCTCCACTCTGCAGGGCCACTCATGGTTCCCCCGTCACTCCCTCTCCCCTCAGAAGCCGAGCTGGCACCCCAGGTCTCACGCCTCTTGGAGCCTCACGTCCCTCCCTGCAAAGCCCCCCATAGCCCCACCCCATGCCTGCAATAAAGATGTGCCGCTCTGCTCCCGAGTGCGTCTGAGGTCTGCAGCTTATTTCACGGGACAGCGTCCGCCTGGAGGTGCAGTGTGTACTTCCTTCCCTGCCCAGTCCTGGATCTGGGAGAAAAAGATAAGGTTGAGGGCCCATGCTTGTGCAGACACAGCCTCCTGCCCACGCCGTTGGCCGGGAGCCTCCCTCTGCCCCACCGAGTGGCTCATCCTGTGTCTAGCGCTCCCAGGAACAAGATACTGAAGCTCACGTCCACACACCGATGGCAGCAGGCGGGGCCTGGGAGTGCCAATGGGCCTCTGAAAAGCCTGCAGCCAGCTCTGGTCTGTGAACCTGATGCAGTTTATCATCTTTATTTTATTAAATCCAGCCTCACCAGCTTGCTGTCCAGGAGAATTGGTCTCGGCCTCTCCTCAGGTCTGAGTGGCCTTAAACCAGTCCAGGAGGCCGGACATGAGCCCAAGGCGTGGCGTCCTGTCTGGAAGTTCACCACCAGGTTTCCTCCAGGGCTGCAGGTGCCTTGCTCTGAGTAAGAAGCTGAACAAGCAGCGGAGACCGAGAGGTTTCCGGAGACCATGGGAGATGCACTCATGAGTGCCTGGGAGGGAAGAAAAGTGTGCCGCAGATTTTCTGAGCCCCCGAGGTGCCCACTTTACCTCAGGGAGGCTCTGTGGGCGCTGACGGTGCCATGGCTTATGTGGGTGGTTCTCTGTGGCCTGGGCAGTCTGGAGCTCGGCCTGTGCCCCCGAAGCTGTCTGGTGCAGGCACCTGGGTCCCTTGTCATAGGGGTGTGAACAGCAGAGAAGCTAGAAGCTGAGTCACAGGGCTGGGCTGGCAGCCTCTGCCCACTGGAGCCCTGGCCCCAAAGCCACAGGAATAACTTTCCTTCTCCTCATGTCAGCCCTCAGCCATGGGGTGTGGTGTGGGGGCATCGGAGTGCTTCCCCAAGGCTGCCCTCACCAGCTTCCCGCAAACACAACCTGGAGCTTCCCTGACTTGGTCTTTTAATCTAGAGTCAAATCGGTTCACAAATATTAAACTCCAAGGTCAACAATTTTGTTCTTGCCACAAAAACGTCTTTATCCTTTACCCTAGCCACAAAAAATGTGAATAATTTGGCTGGTGGTGGCCACAGCATCCCCCAGGCCTGCGGGCAGCTCCCGCCCAGCACAGGGCTCCGGCTGATGCCCTGTGTAATGTGGGCTGGGCTGCTCTCAGGCTGCGCCATCTCCCGTGCACATAGCCTCTCTGGGGCACCAAGCTCTGCCAGCCTGGGTCATGGTCTGGTGAACCCCCTCCCTGGGCTCAGCTGGGGCCTTCTGATCCCAGCCTCCCCTGGAGGTGTGGGCTCCCAACCCCGCCCTTGCCCACTTCCCACTTACAGCTGAGGCCAATGAGACCCTGGAGGCCTCAGGAGGCTTCTCCCAGCTGTTCTCGGAGACTTGTGTCACTGGCCCCTCGGGAGATGGGGTGGAGGCAACGGTGGGGCAGGGGTTGCTGGGGGGTTCGGGGTGCTGTGGTCCCACCTGCACTCCCTGCCTTGCTGGGACAGCACAGGAGACAGGCTTCTCCTGCAGCTCAGGGGTGGGGGCCTAGAGCGGTTGCAGGCCACACCTGAATTGCATCTCCCAGAATTCCCACGTGTTGTGGGAGGGACCCACAGGGAGGTAATTGAATCCCGGGGGTCTGGTCTTTCCCGTGCTATTCTCGTGATAGTGAATAAGTCTCACGAGATCTGATGGGTTATTCAGGATTTGGGCTTGTGTTGCTTCCTCATTTTCTCTTGCCGCCGCCATGTACGAAGTGCCTTTCACCTCTTGCCACAATTCTGAGGCCTTCCCCAGCCATGTGGAACTGTAAGTCCAATTAAACATCTTTTTCTCCCCAGGCTCCCCTTTATCAGCAGTGCGAAAACAGTAATACAGTGGTCATCCACACGGGGTCACCCGGCCAGAGAGAGAGGGGACGTGGTCCATCCACCTGGGGTCACCCAGCCACAGAGAGGAAGGGACGTGGTCCATCCACACAGGGCCACCTGGCCACAGAGAGAGAGGAGACGTGGTCCATCCACACAGGGTCACCCAGCCACAGAGAGGGAGGGACGTGGTCCATCCACACAGGGTCACCTGGCCACAGAGAGGGAGGGCGTGGTCCATCCACATGGGATCACCTGGCCACAGAACAGAGAGGGGACGTGGTCCATCCACACAGGGTCACCCAGCCATGAACAGAGAGGGGATGCGGTCCATCCACACAGGTCACCTGACCACAGAGAGGGAGGGGATGTGGTTTATCCACACAGGGTCACCCAGCCACAGAGAAGTAGGGGACGTGGTCCATCCACATGGGGTCACCTGGCCACAGACAGGAAGGAACGTCTAACATGTGCCATGAGGTGAGGCTGGAACACACTCACCCAGGGAAGGACAGTTCAGGGAAGGACACCAGACACCGAGACTGTGCTCTGTTTATATGCAATGTCTGGAGCAGGTGCATCCACAGACAGAAAACAACTGGGAAAGGAAATGAAGTCACTGCTCGTGGTCAC